CAGAAAAGAATGCCACAGCAGGACACTATTATATTTACTGGAGCACATCCCCACTTTTTGCTTGACCGGTAGATTGATGTCATTTGCATGTCTTTTCAAATTTTGAATTTGATTATTCTAACAGTAGTCTAAATACGGATCCTCTACACAAGGATAAACGTCTCCCCCAAATCTCAGGGTTGTAGTACTCGTACTCGGTACTCGGTACTCGTACTCGAGTACTTCTCGAGTACTTTTTTTGGAGTACTCGTACTCGTACTCGAATGTCAAAGTACTCGTACTCGATATGACGGTACTCCTACACGAGCAGCACAGTACTCGTACTCGCACATGTCGAAATTGTACTCGATCATCAAACTCCTGGTACTCGAATAACAGTACTCGATAAAACAAAGTACTCGTACTCGAATAGAGGTACTCGATAAAAACAAAATGGTATATCACTTACGTTACCACGGCCTTATTTTATCGATTTTTCAGTTTCAAATGGTCGACTGCGGAGAAGTCGAGATTTTCTCTACTCTAAGCATGTCCGGACAAACACAATGAACAGCTAGCCGTGACTGGGTCTGTATGTAGGTCTGACTGGGCCTGGTCCAATTACGCACAATGAACCATTTGCCATATGTGGGCACAATGGCCAATCATTGTACACACTGTACTCCAAGGTGCTCCTCAAATGGTTGAACGATTAACTTGGGTGATTGGAGCATAAAGCCGTTTTCTGAACCCCGGATTCGGTCCTATAATACGGGTCCAGCCCCATTGCCAATCTGCATGAATGGAGAAAGAGACACAGCCGAAGCCGAGGTTTGAAGAACGGCCCCTAGTCTGGTTACAGCAACAGGTCCACAGCGGCCTAGCCTTGAATGGAGGCCTAGGAATGGGAAGCAGACTAAATGCGTAGACACCAAGCAAACGCGAATCTGCTGGTGTTTTTTTTCATGCAAGTTGTTCGCTTACGCTTGCCTGTGTGGTACTTTTCAGTATTTTGCACCCAATTTGTACGTTGTCTGTGCAAAGAACCCCAAAATACATGTATCATGTCGTCTGTGTCCACTGTTGTGAAGTTTGGGTTCAAGGATCACAGGGAATTTGTCCAAAATGGTGTGAAACGCCACATTGCAGCGTGCATGTTGCGTGCTGTTAGCATATCAGAAACATATGGGACAACTTCGAACTTCATCAAGCGTCAATTTTATTAAATGACAGTTGACCTAAACATTCATGTGATGTCTGTATCTCAGCTGTGTAGCATTTCCTTGGAACATACAGTTACATTGATTTGAAACTGCTGTTGCCGATTTGAAAAATATTTTCATTTCTAATAATTGAAAAAGCTTACAAAGACGAACCCTAGTTCGTATCACAAGTGATTTTAGGCTTCATGCACAATGTACCCGGTGCCGTATTTGGAAATACAAGTACATGTACTCGTACTCGGAATACAAGTACTCGTACTCGTACTCGAAAATACAAGTACTCGTACTTGGACGTTCAAGTACTCGTACTCGTACTCGGACGTTCAAGTACTCGTACTCGGAGACATTTTCTTGTACTCGGAAGCACAATTACTTGTACTCGTACTCCGCAACCTAGGTACTCGGCAGTACTCGGCAAAAAGTGCTCGACTACAACACTGCCAAATTTCTGGTTAGATGCATGATACGGCACTTGCGCGTCGTGCGTTCGCGTGCGAGACTCGGCACGAGACTGCAGTCTTTCAGTGGTCAAATTTCAGACAGGACACCAGCTTTTGGCGATCATGGCGCACGCATTGTTCTACCTGTTCTATGCGTTGTTATATGCGCGGATGCGGCATATCACGCATGTAGATAATCCGTTCCCTACATTTTGTACACAAGCTCAGATGAGTCGTTTTTCCTTCTAAAATTATCTAAATTTGTATCAATAGTGGGTAAAATCGTACAAAAATCACATGATGACACCTTCATTACATTAATTCTTGATTAAAGGCTATCTTAGCTTCGTTCTTGAGTCAAAGAAGTGAAAATATTGCCATAAAGAAAAATAGGTAAAAATTGTAATTTGAGAAAACCCTTACAAACTCACAAAAAAAAGTGATGAGGTCGTCTTGGCATGCATCAGTCTGTATTTAGCATGTACAGAACACTTTGTTTGTTCTCACTAGCGCTTATCACCACTTGAAGTCTTGTATGATGACATGCTACCGTCATACTTCATGTTGGTACCAGAGTGCAGGGGCGTAGCACGCTCATTTTTATTGGGGGGGAATTTTTGAAAAGGGCACTTGTACATCCGTTGTGAAATGTAGACAGGTTTTTTTTTCTCCGGACACTTGGCCTCCGTAAAATAAAAAAAAGGGGGGGGGGGTCTGGAACCATCTGTCGATGGGGGTGCTGTTCAAAACCGACAATTATGCACACAAAGGGCCAATATATGGTGCTTTTCAGGGGGGTAATTCATGTCCGAAATTCTGAAAAAAGGGACCCAAAACGGCAGATGCCACAAAAAAAGGGCACCAGTTCTTTTTGGAAAAAGGCACTAGTTCAGAAAAAAAAAGGGGCACTTCGTAAAAAAAAAAGCACTCTTTACAAATTATTGGGGGGGGGGGGGGTAAGCCCGTTGAAAAAAGGGCAGTTGAATGGAAAAAGGCAGTCTTTACAAAATATTGGGGGTAAATACCCCCCCCCCCCCACACGTAGGCTACGCCTATGGAGTGCCAGCCGAGTGTCATCTCTCTACCTACCCGGTCAGTGCTATCGTATAGGATTACCCAAATCGTGTAAACCAGATGCATGGAAAGACTTCCAGCGATTTGCCATTCTGAATCCATTGATTAGAATTGACGTATCGCTGTTTGCAAGCGAGCCATGCCCCTTAGACAGCCCTATGGCATTTTGTACGTTAACTTTTGTTTGTCTCAGATTTTGCGCATTCCCCGTCCATTTGTATATCATGTAATTTGACAATATTTCACAAGCTGCATTGACGCGATTCTAACGCGATAAGTTGTGTGGGCTCTGACTTGGACTGTTGTGGAACCACCTTTACACTGTGTGCACATCTGTATTATATATCCAAGCTACATACTACATGTACATGAAGTAAGCATTTTTGCTTGCTAGATACTAAATATTAATGGATGACATCATCACTATGTCACTTCACATTAACACTTTCTTAATTGTTTTCCACATGCTAGGATTTTTACAGGACACATCATACAGGGGGCTGGCAAGTAGTCATGTTACATTATACATTGCTGCCACGGATTCTGCAATTTAATAGATTAAGAACTGCTCAAGTGATTTGTGATCACTGAAAAGACCCTAGGGAGTATGATGAAAATGCATGACAAAACGAATGTGCTCAATCAAATGCTACAGAGTGCATGTAACACCTCAACAGTGAATGCGTTGACTCGTTGTCTGAGCAGTCTTTTTTTCTTCAGACACTTGGGATCAGGTTGGCAAAGTGGTACTTTCAACACCTTCTACCGCTGGGACATCAAATTCCACCTGGGCGAGCATGTGGATTGGGTCTTCAGTCCCTACCTGCAAAGTCACTCCAGGGTTTTCCTCCCACCTCTTAATCTGTAATTTCCTTCCCTATCTTTCTAGGCTTCCCACTGGAAGTACAACATGTAAGTCGAAAGACTTTAATATGGCCATCCTGGCTAATTGACTATAATAATAATTCATAAATACCAAAGACAGTTTACACATTCCTATATTTACCCATTCCTATATTTACCCATTCCTATATTGGTTTTAAACACTTTTTTTCCTGTTTCACATGAGATTTGGACTTTGAAATATGGTCCATTTTACTCTTTTATTGGGTGAACCCTCACAATTATCTTCACTTAGGCATGTGCAATACTACCAGTGAGTGAGTCCGTATTTCACAGTCCTAAATTCACACTAGACCGGCACTGCTGCGTTCTGCGGCACATCGTGCAGTATGCGTCATGGGCGTGCCGATCTCCACACAAGGACATTTTTAGTACTACTCGCGCGAGGCACATACCATAAACATAGCTAGAGGGGTGTTTCACAAAACATGGAGTCAAATTGTTTAACATAATTTTTGGAAATTTATAATTTTTGAGTTTTTTTTTTTACTTTTTGGCCAAAAGTTATTGAATGGGAATATATCTGTGCTTGGCCGGTATTAAACAAGTGTCGTTTAACACTGGCTCAGGGCCTGGACGTGGAGAGTGGCCCGAGCTGAAGGCCAAGCACACATTTATTCCCATAGTAAACATTGGTCACAGTGTTTGACATTTAATGTCTCAAATGATGATCCATTGTCTGAAATGTGAACCCTCACTATTCCTGTTTCAGATATTTTGTCAAAAAAAAAAAAAATCTGACATTCTTGATTCATGTTACGGGCGTTAAGTTGGATCTCTATGTTCTTTTGAGTACTCACCTACATGTAGAATCATTCAAACTATGAATGATGTATTTATATAATCTTAACCAAAAACCGACTTGATCCAAACCACGGTCAGGTTCGTGTTTGCACAACATTAATATGCATCAAAATTTTAAATCTGAAACTTCTGGGCAGAGGCTTGGAATGTGACTGGGTCCTGCAAAGGGCCTATGATAACTGGTTTATTATGCTTACCGACAGCTAACAACAGTAGCAGTAAATCCTCATAATGTTTGGATTCTCTGACAAACCACCAAACCACTGTTTGCACAAAAATCTCCGAAGCAAACCCAAATCAAACCAAAACAAAACCAACTTGAAGGTTTATTTTCAGCACTATGATATTAAGGAGCAGGTTATTGCAGGCCTTACTTTAATTAAATACTTCTATTCCCTGGTGTAAACAATGATACCTTGATGATTTAAACAAAACAATACCCTTCCAAACTTTAATCAATGTCAAAGTACATGTATGAGAAAAAAAATATTCTCATTCATTTCAAACACTTATTGCGTATTCATTTAAAACCTGGCAAAAAAAAGATAAATCGGCTCAAAGTTCTACTCCTCCTTACCTTCCAATGATGAGGCTTGGGCGAAGGCGGACCTGAATATATACACACAAGAGGCAAGAGGGACATTAAATCGCTAGGTGAAACCTTGGAAGGAAAAAACCAACAGGAAATCCTCAGTCTATAGCTGGCAGGCAAGCATGAAATGTGGAAATTGCTAGGCAGGTGGTATTTGCGTGGTCAAGTGCTGCCAGGAAATGAATCCATAATACCAACACTAGACCAGTCAATACCACAATAGTATCATAACAGTGGAAATAATAGAATATGGCCAAGTGTCAGTCCAATTACATTAAATGCCATGAATATAGTAATCTAGATAGACCTAAACCTTAGGCTTGTTATTGTTTGTATATTTTTTCAGTGATTTGATTATGTATGTAGAGGCATCGGTACATGCATGTGACATGTACCGGTACATGCTCCTCTGGCTTACATTGTGTCGTACTTGTGAAGGAATGGTGTATCACATGTACATATCTTTCATTAAAAGTGTAAGAATCTAAAACAATTTCAAAGATTTTTACAAACTGAATCCAATCTATTCATGTGCAATTAAACTTAATACCTAAGTACATACTTCTAACATGTAACATAATAGCAGTAATGCAGTATTTGTCAACAAGTATTGTTATACCTCTGTCTTGAATATTGTATTTTCATTGGCCTAGAACGATCACGTTAGGTTTATAGAAAGTCATGGCACACTCCCTGTGGGATATCACGTACGTGATATTACTTTGTACGTACGGTACGTATGGTGTGGAACGCTTGTATCGTTGGTACCCACGCTATTTTCACCATGTTTTCACACATGAGTGGGAGCAGCGAACTAGCAGACGATCAGCTGTTTCAAGCACGCGACATGAGTTGACGTTCGATTGTCATGATTTTTGTGTTTCCTGCTGTTTGTTTTCGTGATTTTTACATCAAAATCCAAGGAATCCAAGACAGAGGTATAACAAAACAATTCTTGACTGCTGTGATGTGGAATATGACGTTTTGAATACCCTCGGGCCGCATAGCTTGCGCCCCTCTGGTGTTCAATACGTCATATCCCATATCACAGCAGTCAACAATTGTTAACTGTCTCATCTGTGGCTAGATGGAGACTATTAAAAGCTGAAAGAAACCAAGCCCCTCCTGTTCAACTGGTTTCACGGTTAAAGGCGATGGTATATGAGCACTGAAAATGTGTCTATCCAGCTTACCGGTGCCTTGACTGGAGCCACTCTTGCCAGAATTCTCCCGTGACATGCTTCTGGATCTGCTATAGGTGACCTTGTGCTTCTGAGCACGAACTTGTCCCGTCCATCGCTCCAGTATGTCATAGTCAACATGGCTCAAGACATAATCCTCCAAAAAGGCAGGGTTTTCATTCAGGTAACTACGCACCTGCTCTTGGAGAATATGATCTGGTTGCAAACATGAATAATGTAACACAAATTATTAGAACCTTCCAAATTAATAAGGAATATATGATTTGTAAATGTATGTAGGTGCTTGTCATGTATTCCGTTTTCTATCCTGTTGGAAAAGCTTTTTTGAGTATTATATTTAAATGCAAAGCCTTTACAATGATACAATGTCTACTATACAGTACCTACTTGTACGGTCATGACGGTGGGAAACTTTTTTTTAAATGTACAATACAATGTGACTGAAAATATTATCATCACTTCATGATTGACAAAGTCACAGTAATAATGCATTGAGTGCTTTGCAGTTGTAACCTCCGAACAATCCTGTTTTGCTGTGATTTTTACCTGGTAAAACTTCAATGGATTCACTGAATGAAGGATGTGTGAGGACAGCGCGATGTCGACCAATACCGTTACTTAGGGTGGATGACTGCCCTAGTGTCAACAAGAAGAAAAAGAAGAATGTTAGCTTGAAGATGTTAACCTGTGTGCAGTGTGCAGTACTGATGTTAAGACAGGCACGCAAAAGAGCTAGACAAAAGCTCCACATAGACTTTTTACGGATAAATAACAAAAAAGTAATAGCTTATTTACCCTAACCCCTCGGCTATTTTTACTAGAAAGTATCCTGAATCTGCCAAAATCCATCAAGTTTGTCTTGCAAAAAAATGTTGGTGTCCTGAGTCCATCAGAATCCACCAGTGTAGTACACAATGTACATCTCGTACACACCAAACATATAGCCAAGGACTTAAACTGTTGAGATCCTGAATCCATCAAAGTCCCCCAATGCAACTGCTCATAATGGAAGTATCCTGAATACGTCAAAATACTATAAAACAGGGGTATGGATTTTGATGGATTCAGGTACATTAGGGCAAGGCCAAAAATAAAAAGTCTCTGGTTTCTGGTTTGGAGCTTGCCAGTTTTTGTATCAATTTCCAACCCACGTTGGAAATTGATATGAAAATACCACTTTCTTGAAAATGACAGCGCACCGGATGCCATGATTTTACAGGATGCTTTAGACTGTCATTCACTAACAGTCCAGTAAGGTATTTCATAATAATTTGGTAGTTTTCTGTTTTGATGTTTGCAAATCTGTACATGTATATTCCCTTTAAACCTTGTCAAGTAATACTTACCAGTGACTATCATGCGATCATGGTTAGATCGTGCGATCCCATAACCATAATGTCCTTGGATGTGTGCATACTTTCCTCCAGTAGTGTGACTAGGTGGGCTAGGACCCAGGTAGACAGAGTGGCCTTTGCTTGAAGCATGAGGACTGGTGGTGGCTGGACTGCGTTTGTGGGCTGGTAGAGGGGGTAGTCTCCTGCTCGCTGCCTGCTTGCTGGGACCAGACATCCTCTGCCTATTCATTGGTGCCAATTGGTGATAATCATCACAGTGACTTCAAAATAAAACTGTCAGGAAAAATACACCACCACAATGTTACTTTCGAAAATGGTTATGCATCAAGCAGATACTACCGCGTTACAATACAGGTTGAGTAAAAAAAACAGGAAACCCAAATGTCGGGACCATTGTTTTAGTAAAGTTCTGTATGTACCGGTAGCGCTTTCAGAATCTAAAATAGGAAAGCCCAAATCATAAGCTTTCTTTTAGTACAAATATAATTCAAATCACTCATGTAATTTTCAAATTACAGAATTTTAAACATAAACACCGTTTTAAAGCTCTGTTCACGGATCACATAAAGGTAAGTGTTCTTTCAGCAAAATGCTAACAAATCTCATAGCGATCTGTGTGAATTGTTTTTGTTTTGCTGAAAGAACATCCGTGGACAGAATTTTACAACGGTGGTTGTGTTTAAAATTCCACAACTTAAAAAGTACATGAATGATTTGAATGACTGTACTAAAAGAAAGCTTATGAATTGAGCATTCATATCCTAGATTTTGAACACAGTACATGCAGAACATCACGAAAACAATACTCCCGACATTTAGGTTTCTTTTTTTTCTTTTTTACTCACCCTGTATACAGTGTAGCACCTTATCATAAAGAAGTCCCAAGCTGGTGTACGTACATGTGCATCATGCAGAAAACAATATCAAAAGTAAAGAATAAAATGAAATCCCCTTTAAAGTGACTACGCATATTGTTCATGAACGTACCGGTACTTGCATAAGACATGCCTCTACAACAAGAGCATGTAGAGGCATCCAGCATCTTAGCCTGTATGACATCAACCAGCACAGTGCCTTTGTATGTATGGCACGCTACCTATTATGACCGTCAATATACAATGTATACCATTGAAGATTCACTCAATCGCTCTTAATTCATGGCAAAATCACTGACAACTGGCTCTTTGCCATTGTCAACATAACGTTCGGTTGTTTGAAGTATACCGGTACATGCCCATTCATGTACAATCAAAGGAAGCTCTTGAACGCAAGATAAGAGATAAGAGCCATTATATGTACATCACTGACTCCATGAAGCCAAGTCAGTTAAAACATGGACAATTTATTAGAGAACTTGGCATCATTTGAACAATTTATCAAATTCAACGATACATGAACGTATATTTTGTCAGTGCATTTTAACATGTTTCATGACCACTTTGGATGAAACTTGGTTATTTGGTTGTCATCATAGAATTTTAAAAAGTCACCAAATTTGGTTTTAGTCAAACGTTTGCTTCATTGCATGTCAGATATTTATCTGGAGCATTAACTTTTTAAGTTCATTCAGCTAGTTTGTCTTTAAAATGCATCACATGCAACAATATAAATTGCCTACATGCACAGTATATCACAGAAACGTCTACATTTTTATACAGGCATGACAGGTAAGAACTTATCTTGGGTACATTTGTATAATGTGTTTGCAGTCATTACAATATCATTACTTTAATTATGGTAAACAGGTACATGTATTAAATGGTTCAAATCTTAAGCCAGTATGACCTCAAACTACACCAAAGCGGACAACTGACCAACGGTAGATTTGATTGCGTAACAGATCACATCTGCACCATTTCCCACGCTCACGCGCTGGTGTCTTCTGCTCACGCCTAAACGTCTTCTGCTCATGCTCAGATGTGTTCCGCTTACCAGAAATCACTATGCCTTTGTTTACATACATTCCGGCCACAAAGCGCGATCTAAAATTCCTGCACGGTGTCCAAGTAAACTACCAGTAATCTGTTCAAACCTAAATGCCACTATAACCGACACAGACCTAATTTGAAAAAAAAGTAAACCAGGTCCAAAAATTCATTACAATATTATTACTTTCAATACTCGTTTAAAACCTTCTGTTTGTCTTTTATTGGAATATGAATATGAAATAAGCTGAAACTGAAACATTCCTGAAACTGCACCACGATGCCCATGATCGCACCACAATAAACCAATTAGCAAACTCTGTTAATGTCCGTTTTCATTGAGATTACCCTACTTATTTTCCGCTGAAATTTTTTCCCCAATAATTTTTGGTCCATACTGTAGGTACCGTCGCTTGGGCTCACCGGACATTTGCTTCTGTGCGACTGCATTAATTTCTTCGTCATCGTTTCCATGGTTTCGATTTCAGTAACCATTTTCAAAACCATATGAAATAAAATTATTCTAATTATGGGAGAATATTGTTACGCCAATAAAAAATTCTCTCCATGCCACAATTTTTGCTCAGTGAGAGACTACCCAGTACTTGCATGCAGAATTTTTAACTTCATCATTTACACCATCATAGAACACTCACTTGCACATTGATGAATTGTATTCATCCAAAATATATTTCCGTATTCGTAGATGGATTCAACATTTCATTGTTGGGCACATACATCAGCTCCTCTTGTGTCTGGCAACACCTTGAAATAAGCTTTCAGAATGCGATTTGTTACGAAAAAGTGACTCTTTCCCCTATGTTCATATTTCATTGCATTCACGGGTACCTCCTAATATTCAAAATAAAAATTCAATATATGAATATTCGATAATTGATAGAATATTGGGCACATCCGTACAACAGATCTAAATGTGACTTATGCGCCCATCAATTGTTCCAATAGAAGCCTGAAAGTTCCCCCTAGTGGCGAGTTTCCGGAACCCTTGAATAGGAACATTAACATGCACAAATTATACATGCATTCATGCACAAACCTAAAGGGCTCAAAATATCAACTGACTGTTGGGCTTAAATGTACAAAATGTAGTTTAAAAATCCTTAGGGAAAACATGTTCATAACATGACTATAATTTGACAATTTTTGCACTTTCAGGGGTTGTTTTTGCGTCAGAATACAGAAACATTTTTTTTCCGTTTGGGTTAAGTGTTTTGGCTTAACCCAAACATAATTATATAGTGCAATGCAGAGTGGCAGAGACACGCACGTCCCCAGGGCCAGTCAATGGTAACGAGATTATTTTGAGCACATGCACTCGTGCAGTAAACTTACAGGTGTATAGTACATGTGCACCATGTGCCAACAATGTGTTGTGAAAAAGTTCCTGCTGATATTGTTGCCCTTATATGTGGGGCGCGGCCCCTAATGTAGCGCAGTCCCTAAAGGTGGCACACTTTGATTTTGTTCACCTCTATATAGTGCCTTGCTGTAATCAAATTTAACAGGTAATGGACATTTCATCTAGCTCTAAACATTCCTTTTCATAAATCTTGAGTTTACATCATAGCTGAACATTATAAATTTAAAAGAGACATTTGTTTTGGCGTGATTTTCTCATATTTTTTTATTTTCATTCTTTTTTTCTTTTTTTTAAGTGCACAAAGTACCCTTTGAAAATGCCCCCCAAAATAAGAAATAATTTGCTGACAAACTTGTAGACTATGGGTATGGGAGTGGAGATAATGATGACAACTTATCAGAATTTGTCAACTTTATACAGATATTCTTTACGTACGGTAACTTGGGATTTTCTGAGATTAAGTGTGCCACGTTAGGGAACACTCGGCTGATTTTGGGCCAAATTTCCGGACGCCACCATTTTTATAATTTTGGCATTTGCGGCTCCCACTGTCACACACCCAGCTTTGGCGTGATGATGTGATGTGCCATCTCTGGACATACATTACCATCATCACATTAAATTAAGGAAACCTGCATGCAGCAGAAATGCAATTTTACTTGATTGACAATGATTGAATCACTGGCAAAACTAATAGGCCTACAATGTACACGTATACATGTACACGTATCAAACACAATAAGTCAACAATTGCACAACCACCTCAAGAAGATGTACCTAACAATGAGGAAACCTAGAAAAAATGCTGATACATCAAAAGGAGACAGTTGTTCACATTCATCTACTCAAATGTACTACAAATGATGGATGAGCAGTAAGCATCTGGCAAATGTGTTATGCTGCAGAGTTTTGCACTTTTTTATGCATATGTACGTACATAGGCCTACATGTACGCACTCGTACAATGATTAATGTATAATTCAATAAAACCTGAGTTGGATTTTACAGCGTTTACCTTCTTTTCCTTCCACAGCCTTCATGGATAATAACACCATCATCAATTCACTCGTTTCTCCTTAAAATCCCAGCCAAGCTATCACCATGGATACACATGCAGTTCTGTTCTGGAGAGACTATGGTGGATACCAGTACATGCATACATGTACACCGGTACACTGTAAGTGATTATGTGCACTGATTGGTTGCCAGGTTACGCACTGCTTTTTGCAAGCATTAACCATAGAGCAATTAACCAAGTAAACAGTCTCATCATATCGGCACATTACCTTTTGCAAACAAACCAAATACACGTACTAATTAGTTTGTGTACATTGTAGGCCTACATCATGGAGATGACGCATGTTCTGCAGATAATTAAGTCATTTGTACGTGATGGAATGCACAGTACATGTACATTGTACTGTACCTTGTGTTTTTGCATTTTAAGTTCATTTTATGTTCATGCATGAAGGCTATACATAGATTCCAATGGATACAACGTGCCAGACTGCAGTCATTTACTCAGACTACATATATCGGTATGTACATGTACGTGTACATGTAATTTAATCATGGCATTCAATGTACATGTACACGTATGTACTCCATCTTTCTGTAGACATTAAAATATCCTCTTGATTAATCACAACTCCAAAGCTACTGTCTGTACCCGAAGAATGTATTTTCAAGGGGAAAAATAACATTACTTGTGAGTAAGGATGTTAAGTACAAACCAGAAGATCAGTAATGATCACTGATTTAAAGGGGTCATTTGCTTTAGCTGTAGTTTTCAGAAATGGATGGATTTGGGGGGGGGGATTGGTAATGTACCCGGTAAAGCAAATATTGTTACACTGCTTTTTTTACGTTTTTGGTTCGTATATGCTATAAAAACCAAAAAAAAACCCAATCATTTCCTGTAGTCTGGTTCCCTGACTCCATTTAAGATGAAACGGAGCAATTTATAG